AATAATAATAATAATAATAATAATAATAATAATAATAATAATAATAATAATAATAATAATAATAATAATAATAATAATAATAATAATAATAATAATAATAATAATAATAATAATAATAATAATAATAATAATAATAATAATAGTAATAATAATAGTAATAATAATAATAATAATAATAATAATAATAATAATAATAATAATAATAATAATAATACAGTAGCAGTTCCTAATTACTGTAGGGTGGATTTTTTATGATAATGTAGTTATATTTAGGAGCAAGTAGCAGCTTTGCAAATCGAATTAGCAGCAATGAAAAATGAGCGCAAAAAATTAGAGGGATCCCGAATGATATGGGAGAATGAGCGACTTTTATACGAATCGGCTTGTAAAGATGCGGAGAAGAAGGTGCAGCAGTACTGGACAGATATGAATTCAATCATTTCTGCAAAAGAGGTCCGTTCATGTTATTAGATATATCGTAAATTGACAAGGAGCTACATTCAACAACACTTGGATAGTTCTTTCGTTTCGGTAGTCTCTAGAAGAAATTCAAATTAACTAATGATAAATTTAAAATTGATCGTAGAAATTGGAAGAACGCTTGAATGAGACGGAACATTTGCTTGCGAAAACACGACAACAGTGTGAAGAACTGGAAGAAGTGAACAGAGAGTACAGAAATATGCTTGAGCAGGGAAAGGTAATTACTCAGTTACCATTTTTTTTTTAAAAATTCTCGAGTACTCTTTGTTTAGGTAGCAAAGAGGGGTCTCTCCTCATATTATTTAAAAATCATTAGTGATCATGCATTTAAAAAAGGGGTCTCTCCTCATATTATTTAAAAATCATTAGTGATCATGCATTTAAAATTTATTTACTATAAAATATTTCTGATTTATAGCTCTGCCTCAAATTTGGATTTATGTGGATATGCTTCTAAATAAGTAATTCGATACTGTTAAGGTAGATAAAGGGTCAGAAGATCAGCGAAAATGGGATGATCACTCAAAGATCAGTGACTCGGATTTGCTATCCAAATTAAGTGTATTACAACATGAATACGACAACTGTTTGCTTCGATTACGAGCCAGTGATTTGGGAAAACAGTCTCTTAAGTGTGTTTTCAAAATTCACCTGAATGGTTTTAATGGCACTTGACTTAAATATGTAAATATGAAATTTTTTCCATACCGCCAAGTCTTTTCATATATTTGAATGTTTTGGCTTTATTGAAAAAAGTTCGGGATATATTTCAAAGTACTTGAATCCAATGTAATATTTCAGCTGTAAGTTATGGTATCTTAGAATTTTTTCATTACTCTTTCACTTTTAAACTAAATTCTTTCGCTTCGTACTACCATTTTACATACCTGCAATGTATTCGTCCTTTCTATATTAGAAATGATCTGGATGAAGCAAGAAATCGGCAAAAGCAAACATCTCATAGAATTGCCAGCATGCAACGTAAATTGGAAGAGATACTTATGGAAAAGAACCGCTTACAAGAGCGTCTGAACATCATGGAACAGGTTTTTTTCTATTCCGTAAAATTCTGCTCATCATTTCCTTGGCGTGATATTCATTACTGTTTTCATGACGGAAAAGTGTGGTTTGCTATAGGTGGTAAACCTCCATTACTCCGTTGTTTTATATCTTCCAGGAACTAGTAATAGTTTTTTCTTTTTACGCATAGTGCACATAGTGATGAACTTGGCATTTCAATATAATTTATCTTTAAAGCACTGAAACAGGGTACATCTTTATATAGCACAGTGAATCAGTAAATTTCTTCTTTTATTTTTAACTATAAAATTAAAAAAGAAAATTGTTATTTAAGCAAGAAAAGGACAATCAACAGATGGAAAAGGATATGCGTACCGAATTGGAAAAATTGCGGACCGAGAAAATCATACTGCTTGCGGAGAATGAAGAATTAAAACGACGTTTAAGTAGAACTGAGGTGGAGCATCGAGAATTTGATGCTTGTCGTGCACGTCTTGAAAGAGAACGTTTGGCCCTAAAACGAAACATTGAAACAGTAAATTTTACATTTTTGACTATTGAAAAAAGGAAGAAACATCCTGTATTTTTCAGGCCATTGTCCAATCCATTAGGTTGATTAGTAATTTTGCAAATTACTAGACCACTTATACAATTGATTAAATCAACCCATCAAGTCACTGAAGCTCCAGTTTTTTCAAATACCTGGTTTCTGCTTGATTCCATTGTCAAAGATACGTAAACTTAGTACTATACAGCAGTATATTAAAACGCAAAGTGCGGACCTATGACTGTTACTTTATTATTCCTCGTCAAACAATACTGGATATTAGTAAGTAGAAATGGTAATTTTGAAAATCTCGAGTAGAATTTAAGGTTTTAAAAGTTGACGAAATCAATGCATTTCTAACGTAACATT